AATGAAAACGACTTTTCTGTGTATGCTAAATACATATATTTTTGCAACTTATTCACCATAAAATAGAGTCTAGAGAGCATACAATTATAATTAACCAAATATTTTTTTTTCCTTTTTTTGCAAATAAACATTATTTCTGAACTATGATTCGAATTTTGCCAGTGTGGTCCCTCAGTAGGACTTTTTGGGTAAATAGTAATTTTACAACTATTAATTTAGAGCCCACTTGATATATTTCTTGCGTACGGTAAAATCCCACTTGACATTAATAATTATTATTTATTACATAAAATTATTAAATTTTGTCAAAGAATACGATGAATGATTATCAGACAAAATTTTCCAAAATTAATTATGATCTCATGTGGCTAGGCTCGTGCAATTATAGCATTTCCTTCCTAACTTGGAAACCTAGCACAGGAGTAGGGATGTCAATAAAATCCATAGGGCCGGTTTTCCACGGGTTACCCGCATTTTCGGGTCGGGTAAACCCGAGACGATCGGGTTTTGGGTCGGGTTCGGGTAGAGTTATTCTATCCGAACCCTGGGTCGGGTCAGGTACGGGTATAGTAGAAAAACCCGCTACCCGACCCGATTACCCTACCCGTTTACCCGCAACCATTGAATATTATATATACACGTATATATGTATTCATAAATTATTATAAATATAAAAGTTGTCATGTATTACTAGTATAAAAATTAGATTATTTATTATAAGTTTGATTAATGGTTATTTTTTTTTATGATTTTATAATCAATTTTTGTTAATTGTATGATAAAAAATTTAATACTTAATTTTTAAATATAATATTATTAAATTGACTATACAAGATAAATAATTATATCTCATTATTTATTCCAAAAATAATATAATAGTTTTTTATAGTTTTTTATTGTCGAACTTAGTTAATAAATTGTTTGTTACATTATAATTAATTATGAAATTATTTTATTTTATTTTTAATATAAAACGAGATGGATCTAGTAAAGCCCAAATTTAAAAACTCGGGTTACTCATTTACCCGAAGAAAACCCACTAACCCGCCGGGTAAAACCCAACCCGAACCCGAAGATCACCAACTGGGTAACGGGTCGGGTTTGGGTAGAGTAAATTACATGCGGGTCGGGTTCGGGTTTGTCAAAACCCGTACCCGACCCGACCCATTTACATCCCTACACAGGAGTAGATATGGTCATGATCGGCCCGTCTTTTTTATATGGACCGGTCCGAACCGCCAATTCACGAGACGGACGGTTCACGGACCGGTACGACCCTCCAAAAAAAAAAAACTCATCGACCCGCGGCCTGGACCGATATGGTGGGACCAAAAAAATAAATATTTGAACTAAGACCGAACCGCTACCCTACGAGTTCGGTTCAACGAACCAGCCCTTATGGGGCCGTTTCAGGGCCCGTTCGTGCCGGGCTGTGACCGATTCATGGGCCGATTCGGCCCGTGGACATATCTACCAAGGAGGTTCATGTTAAATTAATTTAATATATTTAATTTAGCATGCCAGTAATTGTAAAATAAATTATTAAATTTTTAATCTTCCTCAAATTATTACTTGAAGGGATATATTTTCTCAAATGTCATGCCCTCCCATATTCAAGTTCTCCAAGCGAAAAATTCATTCTCAAATTCATTTTACAGTAATTAGTGACAGTAATTCACCTCCAACAAAAAAAAACTTATTATCAAACTCAGAAAAATATTCTCCAAATATTCTTTTTCATCTGAATTATTAAAATTTTTCAATACTACTTGCACATTCTACAATTTCACAAATTAGACCCATTGTTTTACATTTGATTTGAACATTATATGTAAATTTACTAATTTTTTACATATTAATAAATTCGAACATATGAGTGACTCACATTTTCTATAATTCGTAAATAAGTTTATTTACGCGAATTTATGAGATTCATATCTTGTATAATTCGTGCATAAAATTTATTTACCGTACAAAAATAAGAGGAGAAAATAAAATTAATACAAAAGATATATATTTTAATAAAAAAAAAAAGGAAGGACTAATTTGATAGATGAAAAAAGAAGAATCCGAAAAACGCAGGTTTTGGTGAGAGAGAGAAAATGGGCAAAAAAAAAAGAAAATGAGGGTAGCGAGTGAGAGGTACGCACCGGCGTCGGACGGCGGCAAGTAATCGTTGAGAAATCCGGCCGGCGAACTGCTGTGGCGGATTAACGGAGAAGAAGAAGAAGATGAGGAAGTAGTGTAGGCGTTGTGGCGTTGCAGAGGCCGGGCGACGAAGGAGTCGAGGTCGACTAGTGCGGCGTCGAGGAGTGAGGTCGGGGCGGAGCCATACCGCATGAGGCTGCTTCCTTGTGACGATGGATTATTATTATTATTATTGTTATTCTCGTTATTATTCATTTGCTCTTATTTGGTCCCAATCCGGGTGAGATGGGATGGGATGAGATTAATTTATCAATGGGGATGACCAAAACCCAATGAGATAAAATATCTATCTTTATTTTATTTTTTTTTATTTTATTTTTTTAAAGAAAAAGTAAAATAAAGAGAAGGTGGGTATGCAAGTTGCTTGGGAAAAACCGAAAAAATTATGTGAGGTGGAGTGAGTGGTTGTTTCCAAATCCTACCAGTCAGTCTACCACTTGTCTTGTCGTCTCACACTAGTACGCTACTCATGCGATGCTCGTGAGCATTTATTACCTATTTATATTTTGAAATGTATTTTTGTATTTAAATTGTTGTTTCATATGTTATTAAACACTTCCTTATGTACAATATTATTTATTTGATTTTTTGGGGCATAAAGTACTACATAGGTTTTCGAATATACTCAAAATTGCATATTATTAGTTATTAGTTAACAAATTTTAAATAAATTAAAGGATCTTATTTAGTAAACAAAATTAAAGTAGAAAAATAAGTAGAATTTTTTTAGGGATTTTCACCCATTATTTATTTTTATATCTAATTCTAAATTTCTATTATGAAAAATTGAAAAGAATCATTAGTTACTACTGTAAATGAAACCAATTTTCCTACTAATAAACTAATTTTGTTATCAAACAAATTGATCCGAATATTTTTTTAAACCAAATATAAAAATCATTAATTTTTTCTTAAAATGCAACCAAATTTTCCTAACACTGCAACGATTGTTGTACCAAACAAATTGAATTGAAAATAATTCTAATAAAAAATTAAAATAAATTGTTAATGTTTATGCAATTGTTTCTTTCATAAAGAAATTGATATGAACTTAACCAAAAAAAAAATAAAAAAAAAATTGATATAAACTTACCAAATATCGATAAAACATGGGTAAGAAAAAACATAAGAATTAAAAAAAAATCGATGCATTTAAATTTTGAAAAGTTGCACAATTTTTTTCTAAATAATTGAATAAGGTGACTTTAAATATCAATGATGAGTCGCTTTTGTTACCAAAAATGTGGACACAATTTTAATTGTACATCCCGTCCAAATATCAGTTTTATTTTAAAATAGAAATTAGACGTGGTTTTATCCAATTTACACAATTTTTTTGAAAGAAAAAATTATTCAATAAGATTGAAAAATTTTGTTACGAATTATACAACTATTTGCTTCCTAAATTTGTATCTAATTTGCACGGTTTTAAAATTAATTCGTATTTATAATTGTTTTTATAAATAATTGAATTTTTTTTTGCATAAGAATCTCCAAATTTGTTACCAAAAAAGATATGATTTAAATTTTGGAAGAAAAATAAAATTGATCCGAAAAAAATGAGATTCAAATTTTGCCATAAGAATCTCTAAATTTGTTACAAAAATAGGATTTAGATTTTGTTACTAAATATTTACATTTATTTTTTTTAACTTTCCATTAATAGTAAGTCAAACATTATATTTATTTGGTCAAACTTTTTATTAATGTATATTTCCAATAACCTCTTTATATAGACTAGTACGTAACCCGTGCGATGCACGGGCCGTACTTATTTTGGTAAAATTTATAAATTGAAGGTTGTTGATCAATAAGTTATAATATGTGGAGCATTCGTTAAGTAGTTATAAAATGTTCGTGAAACATGCTTCTTGTTTTTTCATGCAAAATCATTTTGAACTTGTTAACTGTAGACCGATATTTACCAAGATTGTTTTCCAATTAGTAATTATAAATTGCATAGACCCCTCATTCTTCTACTTTTTACTAATTTTCTGAATGTTAACATCACAAAATAAAATTATAGTGAAAATATGTAATATTGTGATAGTTACTAAAGATATTATTTATTAGGTGAAGTATAATTTTATATGGACTATAAGAAAAGTTGTTACCTTGAAGTGTTAATTTTGAGTATATCTTTTTCCTTTTTAATCATTCTCATTCTTTATACCAAATCGATTATAATATTTTGAACATTTTTGTTTTTGATGTGTTTTAGCAGGGGTTTGGAATACTGATTGTATCTTTTGTAAAACAATATTTACAAAAATAACTATATTAAGAAAATATTTTATCATTTGTAACTCAAAACTAATTAAATGAATCGGAGGACATGTAAATCACGTTTTTTATGGAAAAAATGGTTCAGAAATAAATTGATTTGCATATATCTAATTTTATTTTGCAAGAATCTTGTGTACGTCTCTTTCGAATAAGGAAAATAGATTTTTTGTTTGAATTCATAATGCAAAACTTTTTTATGCGATAAATAAGGATGTAGAGATCGTATCTTTTGTATATGTAAAGTATAAGTTTGAATGCTAATCGTGTATCCTGAAAATTTGTTTGCTATTTATTCACAAAAAGTTTATTACGTTTTACATAGAAAGGGTCGAACTATGGTAGTTATTTATATCACACTTTTATAGCTCTTCTTTAGGAAAAAAAACTATAAAAATAAATTGAGAATATAAAATGTCCAATACCATTGCAGATTTATTTGTAACATAAATAAAAAATATATGTACTATCCAGGAATAGAATGAGATTTCTCTCCTTTTTTTTTTTTTAATTGGTGACTTTAAAAAAAACTGCTAGAAAGAGAAAAATACAATCAATAAAATCGTTATGATAAAAGAGTAGACTATGATATCATTGAAATGGTTTGATTTTAAATAAATTCAAAATGTACACATCACATAATTCGAGAATATTTTATTTAAAACAAAAACCGAGAATATGACATAATAAACAACAATAGATATTATGGTAATGAATTTAATGTTCCCTTTTATCTATATATATATAAAGAGAATATATTTATTTAATAAACAACATAATTCGAGAATATTTTATTTAAAACAAAAACCGAGAATATGACATAATAAACAACAATAGATATTATGGTAATGAATTTAATGTTCCCTTTTATATGAAACGAAATATTAACGAAATATCTTTATATTTTTAATATATATTAACAAAATATAAATTTTTTTAAATATTTTATTATTATATAGTTGACAAAACAGAACGAAATATATTTTTCTATATTTTTTTTGGATTTTTTTCTATTTATTATTATTATTATTATTTTATTTTGATGTGTTTTTATTATTTATTTATTTTTGAATTATTTTTATTTTTATTTATGTATGCGTAGTTGTGTACTTGGAGAGAAGGATGACACATAACGCCACGTATATAACACGTAGGATATTAAAAAAATTTATTTATTTATAATGTCACGTCATTATCTAATCCGACTACTTCAGTTTTTTATCCAGGTTGAGTGATTAATGTATCTTTTTCGACCAAATTGTCAACTAAATATTTTCTTTCCGTGAGGGACAACAAAATGTCTGTTTTATTGACAACGCCAACTTAATGTATCATTTTTTAAATTTTGTCGGTGAATGCTTAACAAAATACTTGAATCATATTAATGTCGATAAAAAATAAGCATTATTATTGGTGAATGCTTAACAAAATACACCCAAACTTACCAAGATACTCGAGTACAGAATAAGAGTAATTCACGCTATAAATCTCATATTCAAAATCTGTGTATTGTTCTCTCATATTCAAATTCGATGGTGGTGTTGATTTCTTGCATGGCATGCACACTCATGAGTTCTTAAATAGTATAAAATGTTCTGGTGTTCCAAATTATGAATTGCACTTAAAGGTTGAGACTTATGTCATGTTGTTGAGAAACATTGACCATTCGATTGGACTGTGTAATGGAACACGCTTGGTGATACCGAAACTTTTCACTCATGTGTTTGAATGTAAGATTCTAACATGATCAAATGCTGGACATAAGGTATTGGTACCAAGACTTTCCCTAACTCCATCTGATCTCAGATACCCTTCAAGTTCCAGCGTAGACAATGTTGGTGTTATATACTTAAGCTTTGCTTTAGTGGATATTACACTTGTTATTCCTTGATGAATGAGAGTTATGTTTGGTTAAATAAGTTCCATGT